TTTATTGTTTATAGTTTTTTATGTGATGATTTTAGATGTGTATGGTATGTTAAGCACTTTGGTCAACTGTGCTGTGGTAAAGTGCTATATAAATAAAGTTGAGTTGAGAATGTGAGGAGAATGTATATGTGCTTACTGTCTGAAGGGGGAACACATCTTGCCACAAGACCTGATCCTCACCTTTCCTTATAATCTACATACCTGTTCATGTCCCTTAGATGAGGGGAAGATGATAGCCAGGATGCAGATAAGTTGGAAGATGGCACCGAGAAACAGCCCGTAGCGCAGTATGCTTTCTAGAAAGGTGGGCTCAGGGACTTCTGGAGGAGATAGGTCCAGTTCTGCAGACATGATCCTGGCTGACTGGCTGTTTGGTGGTCAGGTATGTTTCCCTCAGTGATCTATTGGCAGCGCGAGATCGACAGTATGTCAGTGATTCCAAAAAAAGTGGTATGTGGGAGGCCATTGATGTGGTTTCTAGATATAATTGTTAAAATATTTGTAGATACTACAACTAATTGTATGCAACAGTTTGAGGAAACCACGTTTTGTAATGTAAAGAGACCTAACGTTAAGTACGTTACAACCCTTGCAGCAAACAGGCATCCAAAATGTGTCGTTCTTCAAAGATGAATGCTTTGTTACTTTTTATTTTATTAACTTGAAAACTAGTAACAATGGGAACATCCATTCATCAGATCTAATATTACGGATTAACCATTTTCAAAACTGATTCCTATTAGTGTTAACATTGTTTTGACGGATTAATCAACTAAGCCAATTGTTGTAAAGTTAGCTCTAACGTTACTGTATAGTACTTAGTTTATGACAAAGACAACTTTGCAACAAAATCTGATCAAATGATGTATTCTGCTCTGTTGAATGTAGGTACTGAATGTACAATGTTAATGTTAATGCCCCTGCTTGGATACAGTTATAAGGCAGCTGAAGATCCGTTACAACCTAGCGTTAGCAAAACACAAAGGCCAGTTACATGAACCATGCACACATATGTTGCTGTATTGTGGTGGATGTGTGTAAGAAGTGCTTACCAGCCGCGGGTGTGTATTACTCTTATTCCTCGTTATAGGACTGGAACATCAAAGTCCGGAAAAACAAGTAAAGATGTGAAACACTATCAAAGAAAACATGATAATTTAGATAGCTTACAAAGTAAGAAAATACAATACCGTTTTATCGTAGGTGACGTCATAACAACGCGACCCAATACCGATCCGGTTGGTTTGAAAATGTCGCCCTCTAGTGTTCACTCTTACTACAATGACAGGATAGAGTACAGTACATAAAACGTATTATGTTGCTATGTTGCTCAAGTTGTCCATAGTATTTATCAGTTGTTATTTCTGACCATTGTTTCTGTACTGTGCCGACTTTGACAAGAAAGAATACAGTAACTCCATGACTGATGCACTGATAGAGTTTGAGCTACCCAGCATGAATATTAAAACTATGGAAAGTAGGCCTACTTAAATACAATTACTAGGCTCTAATTAGAATACTATAGCTAGTATGTTTCTGAGGTACTTGTACACTTGTTTCCCTTTTGTGCTACCTTTACTCCACCATATTTATAATTAAGCTATAGTTAATTGTTACTTGCTTAAGATATTACATACAAAACATATGGCTAGTTTATGATATGTGACAAATTGTTATAGATTAAACCCACCCAGCAGTAGGTTATAGGAATTAGTTAAAATATACTCAACCAGCTACAATATTAAAGTAGCCTATTTCCATATTAATACATCTGATCCAAGTATAACACTGATAAGGCCTTTCTGCATAATGGGTTTTATTTTTGGTATTTAAATCACATTTTATATTTTAGTTATATAAAAATGTGAATGCAGGATATTTGCTTATTACCCCCAAAATTCAGAATAAAAGCTTTACTTTTAAGTATGTTTAAGTACATTTTACATTGCATTTTATAAACTGAGAACATACCTGCTCTTCCTGCAAACACAGTGATTCATATAAACAGGATTTATTTATTTATTATGAAATATTTTAGACATACTTACAATGAGCAATTGTACAAACATAAAAAGAGAGATGTTAAACTGGTTAAAATAAAGAAAAAATTGTAATATTAAACAGACATTACATGTTTTGCTATCTTTGCTAAGACTAAATTGTATGGAGATATTTAAGGCAAACACAGTAAGCGCTGACCCATTTTCTAATGTAAAATGTTGTAGTTGAGGTAAACCACCACCCTTCCTAATACCAAAGAAATATCACATAATCCTGTTAAGGGTTACTTTCTATAGACTGCCTTAAATATCTGCTTCTACTGAATTTTTTCTTCATTACAACTCTTACAAGCTTCTTCTGAGACCATCAGTATCTTATATTTGTATTTCCACAAGGCTGCCAATTATACTGACTGCTTAAACACTGAATATGATGAACATCAGGACTGCTGCAGGCCTCTAGGTTCACTGTCCATTGTGGTCTCTCAGGTCTCTTCTAATGATGTCATTCACTGGAAAGCATTCAAAAATAAGAATGAACAACTTTAACACTGTACAGATAAAGAAAGACAAACAAATTATTTTATGGCAGGAAAGAAATCCATCCTGTATTCCTAAAGCTTTATATTAATTTGTTTTGTATTTAAAGCCCCTTTGTTTAAAATTGTAAATCAGTAATATTTTGTTTTTTTTTTTTTAATCCAGTCAAAACTGTTGTTGCTTTCACCTCATTCATGCACATGTTATTCATTTGTTGCAGGGCCAGGGGATTATGTCATCTACATGTGTTTTTTTCCTTTATACAGCCAGTAGAAGGTGCTAAAACCAGATTTGTTTTGGCTATTTTCCACTTTTATTTGAAAGTCTGACAGTAGAGAGGTCACAGGAAATGAGGAGGAAGTGAGATTGGGTCCTTGGCATAACTTGACCCAGTGTCAATGAGGTTTGTGGTTGGCACCTTAGATTCCTAACCCACCAGGGAGCCAACAGAAATATTCTAGTTTCACACATAAATCAGTCCAATGAAACTCACAGTAGCACGTCGTATTGCATTTAAATTAATGTCCACTAGATGTCCCATTTATTGAACACAGACTGTATGCAGTGGTTTCTGAACTGAAATAATTGATTTCCCAACAAAAATATCAACCCTTACAATATTATACATTCATATGTTGCCAGAAAGAATACAAGTATTATTAATATTAAATATGATCTCAAGAAATAACAACATATACGCAGTAGCATATTTTAATTCATGTGCTTCTGATGCTTAGTAAAAAAAAGTTGTCAGTAGTTAACTAAATGCTTGCTATTAAGCCAGTCTCTATCAGAAACTAGAGCAAAGGACATTGCTGCTTTCTTTACCACAGGTGTATCTGCACATATTTGCCTATACAGAACACTTCCTGTTTATGTCTATGAGGTGTAAACAATAATGTTCTCCCACAGCAAACAAGATCGGGGTACATTGCTTAATGGTTTTCCCACTTCATGGTGGTAAAGCTCTGTCCTTTTTAAATGCAAATACATATGAAATTTATAAAAGTTGTAGTTGTAAGCGCAAGTTAAATACACTTGTCACTTTACATTGCACCTTGTTTTTACTGTTTAGTAATTGTTTTTATATCTTTTTGTTTGTTTTTATTGCACTCTGCTGAGCATGCTAATGACCCTTCTGCAAGTGTGTGGGTGAGAGAGAGTCAGACTGACAGACAAGGAAGTGGATAGAAAGAGCCACCAGAAAACCACAAGGCAGGATTTGCAAGCCTGCATTTGTAGCATGCTTGTATGCATTTGCAGACTGGACCACAAAGCCCCCCCATTCCATTTTAACCTTGTTAACTGTAGGCGTTTCCAGTAGTATATTCAGAAGATCAGTACAGTATGCTCATGCAAAGTAGCTGAACATTTTAGTAATCAAAACCAATAAAAGCCAAACCAGGGAGAGGAATGGATCCTTTAAAAACCAACAGACAAAACTCGGAAGCAATGTTGACTGATTGATAGAGAGATCATGTAAATATATTGCCAACTACCTTCTCTCTATAGGTGTATATATGCAGAATATTACACTATCAAATATAGAACATAAAGAATCACTGATTAAAATAAATAAGACTCACATCATATAACAACAAATGTGGATTTTGTCATCACTAATGCTGGACATGTATTAAGAAGAGATTTCTTAAAGACTAGTCTGAGGAATGACTGCAACAAGCAGAACCTGCTTCTGTGTTCCTATGGGGAGATGACTGAGACAGACTTGAAAAACTGAGAACCTGATTCAAATGAGCTATTTTGTACAGCTTGTCATCTGAGCATGTCTGAAGTGTTTCTATCAGCACAGCTACACCTTAATGCGGGGCAAAAAGCCCACCATTAAAGAAAGAGGCACAATATGATTATTGTTCAAATGGGGATAATAGTGGACACTAAAGGTGTGAGCGACAGAGCAGATTCTTATGCACTTTGACAGTCTGAGCAGCACTCCTTTTCATGCATACTGAACCATCTAGCAGAGCACTGTAACATTAATACTCACCATCTTCCAGGTAGGCAAAGCTGAGGATCTCCTGTTTGACCGTGACCCGGTTTGGAGCCTGTTCCTCATGGTTTCCTCTACCTGGCTCTACTCTGCCTTGACTGTGGATGTATTTTGAAGGTGGCGACTTCCTCGGTGGTAGTGTTGTCTGCACAAAACCCTGAGGTCTTGACCCCAAACAGGGCTCGAATGAATCAACAGCTTGAGGTCCTTCACTCAGTTTGCCCACAGGGGTTCTAGCACTGACACACTGACTAGAAGTGGTACCAGGGTGGGAAGCCATTGTTGAGCCACCAAGGAGGGGGAAACCGCTGTTGTTGTAACGTTGGTTTACAGTGTGGTACAACATGGGGCTGTTGATCAGAGTGCCTGTTCTTGACTGGTAAAATACTGGTTGATCATCCAGCGGATCAGGTGTTAACATACAGGCTCTGGGGTCTACAGTGGCTAGATGATACAATGCTGGAGAAACACTCAGGGTTTGAAGGTTGCTGTCCTGCTCCAGGTGATGATGGAGTGACTTCACTGATAGGCCAGACAGAGACTGACTGTCTGAGTAGCCATATGAATTCAGCTGATAGTCATCCAGTGGCTCTGCTTTAATGGCTGGAATATAAAAACAAAGATGATCTGACATTGAAAGATGAGAGAGATTAATGGAGCTCACTGATGAAAGTACAAGTACAGAAACAAGACTGAGTCTATAGCTAGTGTCTGTGAGGTTGTATAGTGGAGCTTTGAGCTAAATGCTAAAATCAACATGGTAACATGCTGATGTTTAACATGTGTAATGCTTACCATGTTCACCATCTTTATCATGTTAGCGTTTCAAAACTGCTATTTAGCACTAAACACAAAGGTCAGCTGAAGCTGATGAAAATGCTTTTCAAAACCAGGTACAGAGCAATGTTAAATTTTGTCCTGATGATGGCGCTAAAGGAAAAAGTCTGAGGATCACCAAAAATCTGTAGCATATTTCACACAGTCTGTTCAATAGTGAAGGTCTGAATCAAAAATGTCAACCTGCTGGTGGCACTGAAGTCAGGGAATCACCAAAGTCATTAGGATTCATCCCCCCAGGGACAAAGGCAGTCCAGAGAAAATGTAAAGGAAATCCATCCTATAATCATTAAGATATTTCAACCTGGACCAGACTGACCTTCATGGAGCTGTTAGCATGGCTAAACGTTATCAGTCCTAAAATGTCACAGGTTTTGGGAAGTTTAGGGAAATTTTAAAATACATTTCTTGAGGAAGCTCTGTCATTTCCTTTGCTTTCATATAACTATGTCACCTCATCCGGCCTCATTTATTTTTGCTTCAGTTCATGAAGTCCTTTGTTTCCTGAAATGTTTTTTGAAATGCGTGAACGAACTTGTCTGCATTTAAGCCATACTGTAGGTATAACTGTAGGTGGAGAAAGCATTAACGAAAACAATAGTGTAGTGACAGATTTTCCACTTAGAGAACAAGTGAGAGCGGTACCATCCTACGCAGAAACCTGTGTTGTGACTACAGTCACAGCAGCTGAAAGATTGATTTCTTGTAAAATTGTAAAACACCACAATGAAGATCATATAAAGATGCTCCTTGTGCTGCTTGTAACTGTGCTAAGCTTCTTTGTGTACCAGTTAGATTTAAACTGTTGCAATTTCCCGTATGCTCCAAGTTTCACTTTATCAAGGGATGGGTGACTTAGCACACATTAGCCCTATTTTTTAGCAACATCACAATCAGTTTAAGGTTTTAGTTTAAGTTTATTCTTGTGTTCATTTGCTGACTTTGATGTGAAAATAAAAGTCTACATGCAGGTTACATTTGTTGAATTAGGTCTTTCAGCACAAGGTTTGTGTTGACAAAAGTAAGAATAACATGTCCTCACAATGCCAACACTGACTTTTTCTGTCACCCCCATGGTAACAATCATTGACCTTTTGGTCACCTTCCCATTTCTCAAACATTTGAGGTACCTCTTTTCCTCCAGTTGTTCCAGAGCTGAGTGGGATAACTAATATATACCTATCACAGGAGTGTAGATGAAGTGCTGAGGCTGACTGCGCTTCTTCTTCCCATTGATGACGTAGAAGTTGACTTTAGCCGGATGGCAAATGGTCCGGTCTCGATAAGGAGGGACCTCAACGAACAGCATGTTCTAGACGGGAAGTGCAACATGAGAAAAAAAAGATCACACTTCAGACAAAGTGTAATGTTGAAATAGAAAGGTGTAGGCTGACCCAGTTATCTCCTTTGAGTGTTTCAGTTCATAATCAGCTTCAGGAATAAAATTCTTTGAATATGGTATATGTATCATGTGTAGAAGTAGAAAAGATTGGTCATAGTTTTCATGTTTTGCTTTTTGTTTTGAGTAGATGATAATTTGTAACAGTATCAGACAAAAGTTAATTCGTGATCGAATAATTCTACAAAAACATTATTATTACTTTATTACATTATTATTTAAGTTTTATTTTGTGGCATTCATGTGGACGGCAAAGTAAGAATTTCATTGTACAGGGAAAAACACGTTTCCTAACTGTGCATATGACAAACACTTTGACCTTGACCTTTGACCTTATTATGTTAAATATGCCATTTCCTTAAAGCATGTGGCTGTACAGGCATGTGAATGCTAACTCACAGCTTGTGTTTTGTCTCTGTCCACAGTAGCCTCCACCTCCCAGATCTGCTGCCCATCTGAAACCATAAGGAGTACAGTGTATAGGTATTGAAGCTGTGGAAGTTTACAGCAGCAGTATTTTGACACTTTAGCTTATTTGCTTTCTTGCAGAGAGTTAGATGCGAAGATTGATACCCCACTCTTGTTTGTACACATAATTTGTAGCTACAGTCAGCAGCTGGTTAGCTTAGCATAAAGACAGCTAGCATGGACCTGTCTAAAGGTAATATAATCTACCTACTATCACTTGTATAGCTCACTAATTAATGTATTACATCTTGGTTGTTTAATCCATTAAAAATAAAGTGTAACACAGACAAGCTGCTACTGCTGCTGGTGATGGACTATTTGCTGGAAATCAGATTTTATTACTGTATCATTGGACAAAGCCAAACTACCTCTTTCCCCTTGTTTTTAGTCTTTATGTTAAGCCGAGCCAACCTATCTAATGGCTGTGGCTTCAGATTTATCAGACAGATACGAAAGGGGTTTTGATCGTCTCTTCAAACTCTGGATGAAAGCAAACAAGTGTATTTCAGCAAATATTAAGGTGTAAACAGCATGCTTGATTAAGTGAAAACTAATGAGTAAGAAATCAGATGATATCAATCCTGTCTTTAATTGACAGTACAACATATGTACATTTGTACAAATAAAGTACAGTGAAAAACTGGTTTCTATATTATGCCTGACTTCCTGTTTCATTCCCATCTCAGTATTACCAACTGTTTCTGTTTTAAACCTATACTTTGAAAAAATAAAAGGCCTCTGCTCTGGGTCTGACTCTTTATCAGTATGTCTAACCACATCCTGCTACATAAAATCCTACACCAAGCAACAAAGTGGCTTCACATGCAGCCGACTGTACCCATCCTGCTTTCAAACCATGTGACCCAAAAATGTTGTGTGGGCAGAAGGAGCAGTAGCAAGGTGAGAAATTTCCATGTAGAAATAAACAGCACAAGTTTTTGTCAAAGTAAAAGTGGGGGCTGAAGGAAGATGTGCGTCACTGAATGTTGCCTGGCCAATATGCAAATAATCTTAAAATACAAATACTATATCAGTAGGTGGTTACACCGGAGCAGGATACTGGGAGGGTACATTTTGTGTTTCGCATAAAATATTTCTATTTCATAGAACCAGTTTGGAATCTAACTATATTCATATTAAAATTATTGGTCAACATAAAACAAATACGTCATCTTCATAATAAATAGACACACCGCATAATGTATGAGAGGAATAGCTCAACATTTGGGGAAAATTTGACTATTTGCTTTCTTGCTGAAAGTTAGGTAAGACTGATACAGCACCACTGCTCAAAGCAGCTGCTTTACCTTAGCTTAGCATAAACAGTCAGCTAGCTCTGTTGAAAAGTAACAAAATGCATCTATCATTTCCCCAAAGCTCACTAATTAAGACAAAAACTCTTCCTCACCTTGTGTCTTCTCAGAGAATAGCACCTTGGAGTCTGGTGTGAAATTTTGTCCAGTGAGGACCATTTGTTGACCTCCTAATGCTGAGCATCTGTCCAGATCCTGCCTCTCAACTGCAGGGAACTCCTGAGCTGAGCGCTGGGCTGAAGAAAAAGAAAGGAACAGGAACAAGAAGCAGGTGTAAGAAAACATCTGGATATTTGTCCACACAAATGATTGATGATTCAAATCCATAACTACAATATTTACTTGTATAGTCTGGAGAACATTCACATTAAAGCCAGCCAACATTAGGCCAGCAGTTATCAGGCATTAAAAACTCCTTACAGCATTCAATAGGATCAGAGGCAACTTGAAGAGACACGAGCTGGCCCCCAGGTTGAGGAATGTGGACACGAAACACCAAACGCACACGAGTGTTTTTTCGTCCAATGTCCGTCTCACCATTCCTCAGTTCAATATCGGCATTTCTCAGCTTCAAGATCCCTATGCAGTCAATCCTGTGAAATGTAATGAGACAGATGTGATAATAAGGGTTCTGAAAGGATGCCTATGTACTCTGTTAGCAACACTGTCATCTTGCTTTTCATCCAGATTTACTGCAAGCAGTGCCTCTTTCAAATGATTTTGTTCTGTGTAGATTAGACATTTTGATTAGAAAAATACATTTTGCAAAGTTTTTCAGTGATTCATTATATGCCAAGTTCTTCAAAGAGTTTCCGGTGTCAAGTATAGGTCTTTCTTGGAAAAACATTGTGGCACACAGGAAGTGAGGCATTTCAAGTTTCAAATGTGATGAACCCAAGACATATTTCTCTGGGAGGGCAATAAAATATATCTTATCTTAAGTTTCCATCAGCAGCAACATCAACTTGTTAGAAGGAAAAACAATGAAAATCTTGTAGGTGGCATTAGCAGCCATCACTGCTGGGGATAGAAAGAACAGAGTACCTAGTAGACACTGAGACTTCATCAGTGGAAAATCCAAAGACAAGTGATACAGCACTGATAACTCAGTTTAGTGTTTATCTGCACCTGTAACTATGAGACAACGTGCAGAAACCCCTCAGTGGTGACTGGAGGTTGCTTAATAAATTCACAGTCCTGTGATAATAAATGTGACATCATATTGGGAGCATTTGTTCTTTATGAGTGACTTAGTTATTTGTATCCCACAGCCTCTGTTGTACTTACACCACTCTCATGTGGTTCTTTGGCTCCAGGGGGATCTCCACCACTTTGGTCCCATTGATCATCCTCTTAATGCTGGGGGTGGTGACAGTCTTCCCAGTGATGCGATGGACCTGGTAGAAGGCGTGGGGTTTCAGGAGCCTCTCGTCTGCTGTCCCTATGAATACCTGCAGCCCCAGTGGAGCTGTGCCTTGGTACCCACGGAGCTGGAGAGGCAACAATGGTGATTAAATGCATGCTCCACGTTGTATCAAATGAACTCTAATACCATTAGTGTCCATGACTGCAGAGTAAATCTGTTTGCACTGTGGGGATCATGTTACAGGTCACTTTCTAACTGGCATAGCAAAAATACTGCTTTGCATAGCCCATTTGTGCAACAGTCCAGGGAAATCCAAGAGTGATGATTTATTAACTCACAAGAACAATCCATGAACAAGCACCTGTATGTCAGTATACAAGATATGTATGGGGGGGCGACAGTGGTGTGGTGTGGTGGGTAGAGCAGTCGTCTTCCAACCGGAAAGTTGAGGGTTCAAATATCAGTGCCTGGGGTCCATATGTCAAAATGTCCTTGGGCAAGACACTGAACCTCCCCAAGTTGCCCCTGATGGCGGCTGCGTATGCACGCAGTGGCCCGGGGCCCCTCGGCTCCAAACAAAATTTCGCTATATGTGTCACAATGACAATAAAATAAAGCTTCTTCTAAATATTAGTCTGTTTTTATCAGATTGAAACAATGCATGCCTTAATAATTTGTCCTTTGTCTTTACACACAACATGGTCCAGGATATATCACCCCACATTTACAACCTCTTAGTGACAAAGGTGGGAAGGGAGAGTCATCTGCATTTCTTGTTCTTTCCTTGCAGTCACATATAGACACACAAACTCCCGCACCCTCTAAGCATGAAAGCAAAAAAAGCACCTGAACTTCTGGATGACCTCCTTTAGGTGTTTTTACAGCTCCACGGCTGCCCTCGGTCTCATATTGAGCTCTGTGGTGAGATCTGGGCTGTTGTAGGATCATTAGATCATACTGACTGTACTGAGAGGGCAATTCCCACTCTAAAGGGGGAAGTGGGGCCACAGAGAGGCCGCTGGGAAAAGGAGAGACAAAGGCAATAAGAGGGAAAAATGTAGGGGATGACAAAAAAATTTCAGCTACATACTTTTAAATTAATTTTTACCAAAATTTGTTTTATAGTTTTCATTTAATGTTTTTTTTTTCATTTAATACTCAGTTATTTAATGTGCTATATTTGTGCTTATATATGAGCTTATTTGAAACACACAAACTGTCTATAAGTAATAAGAGAGGACAAACAACACACCTGAATGCTACATGATGAGCTGGATGAGGAGAAGACCACACAGTTGGAAGCATATAGAAGGTCTCACACTTGACCTCAGCTTCACCCCTGCCAGTCCTCTCCTGCTCAGTGGCCCAGTCATACCTCTCTCCATACACACAGTCCTGTCCCTGGGCCTGTGTATGTGCACTTCGCACCATTGCGGAAGGTGCTGCTCTGGACACACTGGAGACAAAGCTCCAGTCCTCCTCCAGGCCTGGGGAGGGGGTCTGAACTTGGGCCTGCAACTCAGCTTGAGCCTGGTTTTGATGCAGGTAGTAGGACCCCTGCTGCTCATGGGGCGAAGGGCTGGGGCTGGGGCTCCGGGAGCGCTGCTTGACAGGAGTTGCTCCCTGACAGGAGTGAAACTGGTCATAGGCACGCTTTCCATGTGGTGAGGCAGAGCGGGAGCGCTGATGAGGAAGTGTTGTGGAGGTACGTTGGTGTTGTGGTAGCAGAAAGGTTTCATCGGTGACACTGTTGTGAGGTGAGGCTCCTGGAGAGGAGTGTGCAGAAGAAGTGTAGATGCCTTGGAGGCCTGGGCAGAGGTCTAAGGCGGACAAGCCCATGCTACAGCCACCTCCGTTGGAAGGGGAGACACATGGTGATGCCACAGGGGAATATGCCTCTGCTGGCCATCCTGTAGAGGAGTTACTGCTGGCAGGGCTCACACACTCCCTGTAAGCTCCCAGTGCTTTGGTGCCAGGGCTGGGCTCCAGGGTCTGAGAGCTGAGGGAGTCACCTGAGAGAGTGATCTCAATCCTGGGGCTTGGAGCAGGGATGTTCCCTGCTCTCGATACCAGCCCCAGGGAGTCAAACACAGCCTCGGACAGGGTTTCTGTGGTGGGGCTGTGAGAGGAGGGCTTCTGGCTGGTGGCTGGCTGGTTGGAGGTGGGGATGTACAGACTGTCATGGTCAGCCACCAGCAGAGGAGTCTGACTGTTGTCCTGAAGGAGAGCACCTGGATCATCTGTCAGTAACAGTAGCAAGGATTATTTGTGTACACGTTCAAACTATTACCACCAGCTTAAAGACTTAACGACCCCCTCCACACAAGACGACTCTTCTGTAAGTTGCATTGCACCATAATTGACTTTTAAACTACTTGTGATGTGACTAAATCATGCTAGGTAGTACAAGTCTTAAACTCAGATAACATTCCTCCTTCAGCAGATAAATGTGAAAACAACCTTTTAGGTGTCAAACTCAGCACACACATCATTCTGCACAGTGGTGCTAAATTCAGATTCACTGTGAAATCTACAATTTCCATCTTTACAACTCTGAGTTATGCAGAGCTAGGCAGTCCCTTCTCTCTAGTATCATCAATAAAATATTAATAACACTCATGCTCACTGCTGATAGGTTGCAGCCACCCTGAGTTCCTGTCAGCTAGAAAATGTAATGAGTTTGCACATTTTTTCATTACAAATTTGAAAATATCAAAGTTTTGCATCCACTGTATGAAAAGGTGCTATACAAATAAGCTTGCCTTTCCTCAAACATCCAAAATAATTTTCTATCTAAGCAAAACATACTTTTGGGTGGATGGGGGCTTTAGATTTGAACTCTTCTTAACTGTTAACTGGGTGATGCTAAAACACTAAGAAATTATCACGATGTAACTATAAAGGAGATATTACATTAATTTTAAATAAGAGCAAAATAGTCACTGCATACATACCTCTGTCAGAGCCGACAGGAAAATCTTCCCCAGATGGATTATACAGAAACAAGTCGGAAAAGTCCAGCTCCTCCTGACTTATGTCTTGACCAAGGCCCTCGCTAAGTCCCAGACCTCCAGATGTCATCTCCAGCTTTGACTGTATGGATTTTGTTCGACAAGAGTAGTCTATCTGTTGTAATAACTTTCGAACTCAGCAACTAATTTAAGCTGCGTGTAAAGCGCAAACAATTAAGAAAACGGGTGGAGCTGCAGTTTCCCCCTCTACGATAAGTTCAAAATATTAGCAGCGACTCAAATACAGCATCCAACACCGCAACATGAAAAAACGAGCGGCGACAGACGCTTCCTGTCACTGCTGATGACAAGCAGAGACGAGGTGCGTACCTACCTCTGTGTGTGCGTGGGTGTGTGTTCTTGTACTTGCTATATAGTGAAACTGCTTTTCGATGGTTAAGACTTGGTTTTAGGTTTCAGGCTAGAATTAGGTTTACAGCAGATTAGGGTTGGGGGTAGGCATTTAGTTCTGATGGTTAAGGTTAGTGTAAGGGATGATGAGTGTCCTCACAAAGATAGAAGTACAAGTGTGTGCGTGCCTTTGTATTGCTTACATTATGGGGAACCAAACCTGTTAACACACTCCCATTGTGGGGACTGAATTTTAGGGTGGCAACCGGGTTTAAGGTTAGGTGTTAGGGTCAGGGTTAGATGACTAGTGCTTATGGTTAAGTTTAGGATAAGTCTACAGGAAAAGAATGTAAGTCAATGTAAAGTCTTCACAAGGAATGAAAACACAGCGTGTGTGTGTGTGTGTGTGTGTGTGTGTGTGTGTGTGTGTGTGTGTGTGTGTGTGTGTGTGTGTGTGTGTGTGAGAGAGAGAGAGAGCGCAGCTCACACAACCTCCAAACACAGACCTCATTTCCACCTGTGTGAGTCAAGTAGGGCGATCGTACATATAATTAAATATAGAGTACTAGAGGCTAAATATACAGTAGTCTGCTCTGCCTGGTAAATTGTATTGATATCAAATCATAGAGGCCCACTCCACCATCAGAACACTGAATACATACACTATGATTAAGTCTCAATTTCAAAAATTGCTAATGGAACCAATCCTATGACCATTAGGAGACTTTTTCTTTCCTGATTCCTTGTAGTAATATTTATTTTTTTTTTTTTACTGGTCTTTTATGTCATATGCACATTATTATTTGTGCAGTTAGTATGTTTGTTGTATGCTCTGACTTAAATGTTGTGTAATATTTCCTATATTTGAATCAATTATCTAGTTAAATGTTCTTATTTGTGATTTTATTAAACCTATTTTAAGATGTTATAAAAGTAGGTGCAGGCAGCTGTTGGCCACTGAATGGCGGTAGTGTGCAAGTCCCATCTTCATCCAAGTTCTGTTGCATTAAAGGGTGAGTTCAACCAAATTTAAAAATTTTATCAGGTAGGTAGGTACTTTAGATACTCTATTGATCCCACAGTGGGGAAATTTTTGAAAACAGCTAACTCCCCGTCGGGGAATTGAACCCCGGTCTCCCGCGTGACAGGCGGGGATACTCACCACTATACTAACGAGGAGCTGACTTTGGTGCTTTGTATACAGTATTTGGGTGTTGTGGCATCTAGACAATAGAGATGTGAGACATTTCTCAATAAGATTTCTGACTACAAGACAGGTGAATATTGGTCAGTCACCTTCAGTACTTTCTACATCGTTATAATACTTAAATTAAAACTGTATTTCTGTAATGTCATTTAATTTACTTATCCTAACAAGAGTTAGGATGCCATTTGACGACTGTGTCGCCTCCCACAAAGACAACATCATCCTGAAGCTCTCGGATGACACCGCAGTGATAGGTCGCATCACTGGCGGGGACGAAGCAGCCTACAGGAGGGAGGTGGCCAGTCTGGTGTCATGGTGCAAGGACAATAATCTCAGCCTCAACACGGACAAGATGAAGGAGATGATAGTGGACATGAGGAAAGAGAGGAGATCTCATCAGCCGCTGTTCATCCGGGGGCTCGAAGTAGAGAGGGTGAGCAGCTTCAAATACCTGGGCGTCCACATCAGTGAGGACCTCTCTTGGACACTTAACACCACACAGCTGGTCAAGAAGGCCCAACGGTGCCTGTACTTCCTGAGGAGGCTGAGGAGGTTTGACATGTCGCCTAGGATCCTCAGCAACTTCTACAGCTGCATCATTGAGAGCATCTTGACCAGCTGCATCACTGTCTGGTATGGCAGCACTACTGCTATGAACCGCAAGCACCTGCAGAGAATAGTAAAGACTGTGGAGAAGCTCACCAGGACTCCACTGCCCTCTCTGCAGAGCATTTACCACCGCAGGGTGCATAGGAAAGCTGCCTCCATCCTCAAAGATCCCACCCACCCCCAGCACGGACTGTTCACTTCTCTGTCCTCTGGTCGGAGGTTCAGAAGTGTGAAATGCAGGACCACTAGACTGAAAAACTCTTTCTTTCCCTCTGCCATCAGACTACTAAACAGCTGAGGAGTTTATTACAGGAAATACGTCATGTACTGTCGACCTGTACTGTTTACATTGTCAGTTTGCACATGCATAATTGCACATTGACTGTTGACTGCTGCACATGCTGCTCCCATGCAGCATACATTCTCTGTTTTATTCTTTTATTATATTGCTGCACACACACATATGGGAAATTTAGAGTCACAAATCAAGCTAAGCTGCATGATGTTTTTGGACTATGGAAGGAACCCAGAGTGAACCCACGCAAGCACGGGGAGAACATGGAAACTCCACATAGAAAGGCATTGGCTCGAACCCAGAACATTCTTGCTGAGAGGCAACAGAGCTAATCACTGCATCACTATGCTACCTTTTACTTCATTTATCACATAATAAATTACTTAATTGTATGGTACTGTATCTTGAATGGATGACACGCACACATATAGAAAGCCTTGGTGAAGACTGGCTCTGTAGTGATTAAACTACTGCTCTTATAAATCAGGGGTTTTGAGTTTAATCCCAGCTAAAGGCTCAGTGACTGTTAAATTCTAGCACATGCATACTGTTAATGCTAATAACAAGATCAAAGTGTTGTTCCCAGCAATAGTCACCATGACTGCAGATTTGGCCTGTAATAATCCAGTACCAAGCCAAAGCACAGCTGGTCCAAAAGCTTAGTTAGAAAAACAGAGTTTCTCAACTTTTATAGCAATGCACAGGTTTGAAAAATAAACACAGGTTGTTTTTCTTTAACACATTTATTAATGTAGCGTTGTCAGTGAATAAAATATCTCTACATACAACCATGTATGTTATTACAATAATATTATAGCACTTTATATACATAAAGAAAAATAAACATGTATTTTATGTTGACCTTTATATGCAGGTTATTAAACAAGGAAAAGCAGAAAAATAATACTTTGACACCTATATACACATCTGAGGTGAGAACATTAAATTAAGATTTGAGGACAGCTGCCTTCAATTTACAACAACTGGCATTTTGGTCAGTCATTAATAGTCATTAGTAATAGTTTTAAATAGGTTTGAGGTATTTATGGTAGGATTACATATATAATAATTGTTCTGTCCTTTTGTTCTATTTACAGAGCAGCAATACAGGGAGTCACTGGACCATTGAGGCCATGGCAACAGAGGTATCATCTTTCTGTCACTGCATCCTGAAGAGCTGAATATGGCACCTGAGAGGACAGGTGAGGCAAAACAATTAGTGTGTAAAAAAACAATTAGTGTCAACACAGTCTTGATAACTTTCAGTGGTTACAGTGAATGAGGCAGATAGAACTCAAGAAAGAAATATCAGACTTATTTTCAAGCCTAAGTCTGATACGGAATCTGATATTTATCAGAAATACCAGATTTAAATAGTTCATATAAGTCTGATATTTCCACAGTGATGATTTTCCACAATGTGGACAATAAAGTTTATATATAAAATACTTTTGGAAATACACTTAATCACTTTTATTTTGAGAGTTAGATGAAAATATTGATATCACTTTCAGTTCTGTAGGCTAGATATGAAGCAACAGGTATCAGGCAGTTAGCTTAGCTTAGCAGAAAGACTGGAAACAGGGGGAAACAACTAGCATGACTCTGGCCAAAAGCCACAAAATTTGCAGCACCTCTAAATGTCAAATGTACATGTTGTATCTAATTTAGTTAATTAAACAGTTCACACACTGCTCAAGTGTGGTTTAAGTATAAAAGTGATAATTTGCAGTTTTGGGGGTGTTATGTTTTGGACTGTTCTTGGCTGTAAAGACACCATGAATCTTCTCACCTAACTTTTGGCAAGAAAGAGAAAAAGTGTATTTCACAAACCTTTGTCAAACTTTTCTGTAAAGACAAAAAATTAAATATAGAGATAAAAAAAATCCAGGTTTTCTTCCTACCTCATCTCCTGATGAAGGCAACCGGCAGTTCTCTGTTGGGAACCAAAAGTCCTGAATGTATTACATCGAGAGGCTCATTATCTGTGGCCACAATCTCAAAGTCTCTGACCAGCTATAAGAGAGACAAGCGGAACTGGATTTTAACAGTCAGTGACGGCAGAGTCTGGATCTTTATAAGTCCCAGTTGAACCATTCATACACTGGTTTAATGTGATTGATAACTCAGTTTGACTGAACTGAAGTGAGTTGAGCTGAACTTCATCTGATCTTACCCAGCACATGGCCAGTTGCAGCTGCAGCTCTGCCAGGCGCCGGCCAATGCACATCCTCTTTCCAATGCCAAAGGGAACATGGGCAAATGGGTTGATGGTGTAATTCTCCCGCAGCCAGCGCTCAGGCTTGAACTGCTTCCCGTCATCAAAGTATTCCTCATTGGAGCTGATTGCATGGCTGTTTATCATTAAAACTGTCTGTAAATGGAGGAAAATGAGAAATAAACTGTTGGTTTCATAACTAAAAAAATCACACATAGAGAGTTGCTCATGTTTAAGTTAAGATAAACAAAATAAATTGTAACATATATTACAACTCAATAGCCCAATATGTCAGTAAGTGAATTAGTCAAACATTCTGCCATTCACATTGCATTACAGATAAATAAAAAAAATAAGGCAGAAAAATGGTATTAAGTAAAACAAAAATAATAAAAACAAACCATTTTAAATTGAGTTAAAATAAATAAAAATTTGATCAAATAAATAGGATACAATGACATGGAAAATATACGAGAATAAACAATAAAGACATTATTACTGCCGAATTGCAGACACTATTAGAGATGCTCCATCCAGGCATCAATAAAATGTAAATTAATACAACATAATCCTCTCATGTCAGGTGTACAGCAGCTAAGAACTAAGCCACTTACTCCTTTGGGAATGGCATAATCTCCCAACACGGTGTCTTCGTCCAAGGTCCTGCTGGTGAATGGAACTGATGGCGATAACCTGGAAGAAATTGAGAAAAAAGCACATGGGAACATGGCGTCAGTGATGGTACAGTACAGTAAAGACAAGTTGTTAAACATACACTTATGTTTTCCACAGTGCAAGAAGATGTGGGATATAATTATACACATTCCCTGGGTGATGCGGTGATGATATTTTCCTTAAATAAGAGGGTGCCCCTTAGAAGGGGCAGGTAGTGATAATGACCATGTGGTAGATGTTTATGAGGGGCCGCAGGTTGGTAAATAAAGAACATGGCCAAAGTTAGCATAAGAAGGCATAAGAAATTTAATTCTTAAAGTTATTGTTGATGATTCTTTTCAGAAGCATTTTTTGTTACATTTCTTGAATTTAATTTTTCATTATGATGACAATAAATACATTAAATGCACTGACAACATAGAGAAAAAAGTCTATGGCAGCAGCAGGCCTGAAAAAAGGCTGACAGGTAATTTTCAACTCAAGCAAAATTACTGAACGGCCTACCTGCCTGTCAGCCTACTTCCTATTTGCACGTACTCTGCCTTTGCATTCACTGCACAAGCCAAGACTCTCCCACAAGGTGTTGCTGACATGTTACTGCTCTGTTTTACAGCTAAAGTGAGCGAGCTCTGGCAGAGAAGGTTCCCATGGCAGCTTTTGGTCACAAATGGGGACCATAATTGAGAAAGTTACAACAAAAAAAAAGTGAACGCTGCAAGAGGTAAAACCACAATGAATTACCTCATAGACTCCTTGAGGCAGGCCTTGAGGTAGGGCATGCTCTTGATGTGCTGTCCACACGGATCCTGGTCGGGAGGCACCACCTCTCTAATCTCCTCCAGCAGCTTCCTCTGGGCGCCAGGGTTACGTGACAGGTTGAAAATAAACCACAGCATACTGTTGGCGGTCTGAGAATCGAAAACAGGGTGTAACACAGAGGGTGAGAGAGGGAGGAAGAGAGGAGATGTCACTTATTCTACATGTACACGTCAGCCTAATCCTGTAAATCTAATTTGTATCTTTTTAGCATAGCATACTACTCACTGTCTCAACTCCTCCGATCTGTAGCTCTGTGATGGCTGCATACAGCTCCTTCTTAGAGAGGCAGCTGTTTTGTAAGATGTCACCGATTGGGTCATCAGGAGCTCTGCAGGCGTTCCTCTTCAACTTCTTGTCTATGTAGACTTTAGCTGGGGAAACACAAAACAGTGAAGATATAAACATACTGTTTGGTGTTCAGCTAAAACTCACATTTGATTAGTTGTGATTTGCAGTTGCACAAGCTTCCATTTAGGAGGAATACACTAGTTATAAACACTTCTGTAAAAACGTGTCCATATTAACGTTGAACCATTTACATTGTATTCAGTAGGTACTGATCAAAAGTATACAAATCTTTGGGTTTTTGACTTGATGAAACAGTGATTTTAATCTTTCTTTTCCAGCTCTGTGAATTTTTTATTGGCATTTCTGACACTGTAAAACATGCACATAATGTGTAAAACTACATTTCTGCTTTTAAAGATCAGTATGATCTAAGTCATACTGAGACATAAGTTTATTTGAGCTGAGCGTCATATAAATGACACAATACAAGAAGTGAGTGACTGACAATCTGCTGTTTTCAAAAACACAGTAAACAAATTCAGAGGCACGGCCAGTAACGATCCCTGTTCAGCACTGGCCCACCCACATTGTTCCCTGGCCTGCCCGGCCGAGCTTCATCACGGGACTGAGAGTTCAGTGTTAAACATCTACTTCCTACACCTCCCAGTCCGCACAGGTAAGGGGCAGTTCCTTTCACTTAATTAATCACCACAGGTACCTCAGTCATGTTGTCTAATATTAATGTTGCTCTTAGCCTACTGTTAGTGGGGTAATTGGTTCTTGTACAAAATCTAAATTTTAGAGTTTCAACCAGGTTGCATTGTACGTAGACATGAGGGAGTGTGTGCTCTCTTAATTCAAACAATGCTTGACAGGGTGATTTCTTTTTCACCTTGGACTTCCCTTTACTGCTGAAATGTGTTAACAGCTGTTTGTGTATTTATGTTTTTTTGTGAGCTGGCCGTGATACTGACAAAACAATGGCGGTAGTGCATGAGAGACATTTGTCTTAATTAACATGCTCTGTTGATTATGTTTGTTTAAATGCCACTGTGTAATTAAAACATCAATTATATGGTTATGCCAGTGCATGAACTGCAAGGTGTCACACCAGTCCTGATTTAGAGTTTCAGGTGATCTTCTGCCCAGCGCCGTGCTGTAAGGACTATACAGCTCACCTGTTGCTGTTGCAAATAAATTTTAGGCTGCTAAAAAAGACAGGTTTTTGTTTACACTGTTGTGTGAAGCCTTGATAGGTTATGACCTGCTGGTTGAACATGGAGTTTTTAGAGGAAAAGAAGGCCTATCCACTTTTGAACTGGCCCACCCAAAATGCGATTTCTGTCTATGCCTCTGAACAAATTATAAAATTATCTCACTTACTCACACTTCCTACAAGTATTTTTGTGTTGAAAAGGTTGTCACCAAATGTCAGGAGTGTGTATTTATATGTTTGTGAAACAGAGGTTGTAGTCAAATAAACAGCACAACTGGTATCATCTTATGTCTCACCCCCACCTCCTACTAGTACAAATATTTGGCAGTCCTCTCTCTCAGGTCATGTAGTTTACTACAACTCAGGCTGCCATTTGCCCAGTGTGCCAAGTAAACAAAGTGCTGAGGCACCCGATTCTCACTCCCGCTCTCCTTCTGTTCTTGATTTATCATTTCAAGCTGGTTTTTTATGTCACTGAGGAGTGCAATTTAATCATGCTGTGCCCGTGTTTGTACCTGTGCTAAAAATACGATCCCACGCTGCTGTGTGGTCCTGCCATATTTTGGTGTTGAGGCTCTTGTGGAGCTCCACCGGCGTGACCATCATGATGCCAAACGTGCTCATCATCTACAAAGAGAAGCATATTAGTTGTTACATCGACTCATCACTCTCACTGAAAATCTTTAATGCAATCATTTTTAAAGTCTTGTTTGGTGTTGGCCCCACTGTCCTGTGAGACCTTTGTAAGCCTCCACTTATCATCTCTGAGTGTGGCTGATAGTGGGCGGCCCAGTAAATCCCAGTAAATACAACGAGTGTCAGTCTGAACTGCTGCACCGCTGGTTATAGTTCAGACTGACCTCAGCTGAGGTGAACCTGATGAACTACACAGTCTCTGTCAGACTCTGTGTCTTAGAGATCATCACATGTGTCCTCTGCTGCTACGAGAGAAATAAAAGGCGTACTCACTGTTTTCACAGCTGTGATGAAGTTCATGGCTTCCTCATTGACTTTCTCTTGCAACAGACCAAATCTTTTGTCATAGAGGATGAGGCAAATGGCTGAATGACAAGAAAAGCCAGTGTGAGCTAAATCAGTAAGACATTTCATTTGAACGTCATTTCATTTTCAATGTATAATGTCTATATACATATAAATTAGTTTATTATGTATTTTTAATGTAAAAAGGTCACAAAAATAACATTGCATAAAGAGACAAAATAAATGAATAGTAGAGCTGAAATGATTAGTTAACTAATCAATTAGTTGACTGGAAATTTGCTAGACAATATTTAAGGCATTTTTAAGCATAAATGCCAAACATTCTTTTATTCCAGCTTCTCAGCTTTAAAGATTTTCTGCTTATCTTTCACTTCAGATTCTAAATCTGTGGGTTTCAGACAAATAGTCTTAAAGACAACTGGTGGGGACATTAGAAAGTTGTGACTGCTATTTAATACTTTTACTGCTTTTTTAATACATAATTCTATGCGAAACATTCAGTCGAGTAGATTAATATAAGTCAATGAAATTAGCTGGACTTACTCTCAAATGACCATTTATTTAGTTCAAAGTACAAGTCTTCAATCTTCCCGTTTGCGTTTATTTTTCCAACTCTGTCAACGAAATCCACCAGCACCTGTTTTTGCAGACAAAACGTATCAGTCACAGGTCACGAACCAAAAACCAGTTGTGATTAGGTTTTGTGTATTAGTCTCACCTCGTTTATTTTACCATCGAGCTTCACCACCTCTGTCGGTTTCATGAGTTTCTGCTGAAAAGCGCTCCTCACTCTCTGCCAGTCTTTTCCCTCCCTGCAACAGTTTCAGTTTCATTCACTGAGCTTTAACATAAAACATTTCCCTCTGTCCTGTCGAACTGCGCTTATTTTCAGTATAAATAAGCGAGAAATCAAAAGCCAACTTACAGAATGAGGAGTCCGTAGGCCTCGTTTCTCATGTCTCTGTATGCTTTCCACGGTTTGATCTCTAGTCTCTGAGGGTAACTTCCCTCCTTCCTGTAGAGCGCCTCCAGCAAGCAAGGTGCGCCAATGTGCACCGACTCAAAGGAGCCCAGCTTCATCCGAAAAATCTTGCCGAATTTCTTGTGGTAATCAACCTGACAATATTTAGTTAGTGAGATATCACTCAGAGAAACCAGATATGCATTTCAAAACATTTTTGTTCATTCTTTCAAAATAATTTTTGCTGTGGCATTACTTAAAAAACAGACTATTCCCCTCATAAACACTGACAACTAGGAAAAAAAGGAATTTCACCGTACCAGCGCCTCATGTTGCCTTGTCAGACCTCCTCTCCTCAGGAGCTCAACCAGACTGCCGAGCAGGGGCCAGTTGGTGGGTCCTGGAATCGCGTCTAGACTGCGCGCTCTGTGAGGGCACCGCACAGCCTCCGCAGCATCCTTCTCCTCCAGGACGCACACTGAGGATGTTGGCTTGAAGTGCTGCAGCCCCACAGACTTCTTTTTCAGCAGCTGAACTATCTGAGGAACTTTCTGGATCTGTGCCCTCATCCTCAAATCTGTAGCTTGTTTAATAAACTAATGTTTGCTCTCTCAGCCCAGCTATTATCTTGGGAGTTTCTCGTTTCTTGGAAGTGTCACATCTTAGCGCAATATATACAGTAGCTGTCCCCTCGGTGTTTATTCTTGTCTTGCACCGAACCAATCAGGGGCCGATCCTGCATTGTGTTGGCCGTCGAGCCCACTATTCATTTAAGGATCTGAGGGATCGTATTACCCTAGATAGACCGAGGAAGTGCCCCCCCCCATAAATAAACACAATCACAACGGAGCGTGTGCTTGAACCTTGTTTCAGAGCGATCCGCGATTGGAAGAACCGAAACTTTGGCAAAGCAAATACTACTGCCACACATCTGCACCGTGGGCAAATATTTGACAGATTACAGGAGTGTGCGAGTGTTTGCTTTGTTTGTGTTTAGGGTGTGTGTGTTCGTTGTGAAGTGGTGGGGGTGGGGGGCTTGATAGTCTGAGCATTTTCAATGAAATTCTCATTTTTCAATGTTTATTATAATTATAGCCTAGATATTAAACAATTTAAAAAAGAAATGAGTTTGGCAGGTTGCTGCCCTGTTATTGTGGAAACTTTAATCGTCCTGTCAAACATGTCACTCATTTTTAATTTTATTCAAAGGTTTCGAGATCCTTCTGGAATGTTTGACATCAGATTTGAGCTTCCCAGAAATTTGTGAGTATAACACATCAGGAAAGCAGGCAGCTCCATAGTTTGACTTGAAACAAGCTTCTAATTTATTGTTTGACAGATTTTTATTTTTGGACAGTTTAGATGAGGTGATGGGTTTACCTGCAGGTGAATGCCTCTCTCTCAAAGCACGCATGCGCGTACACACACAGGCCGCCCCCTCAGAGTTGGCATGGCTTAAATAACATGTACAGGGGTCTGGTGTTCATTCATTCATTTTCTACCGCTTAGTCCCTGAACGGGGTCACAGGGGTGGCCGGAGCCAATCCCGGCCAGCAATCGGGCGAAGGCGGGGTACACCCTGGACAGGTCGCCAATCCATTGCAGGGCTAACACATAGACAAACAACCACACACACACACACACTCCTATGGGCAATTTAGAGACACCAATCAACCTAAGCGGCATGGCTTTGGACTGTGGGAGGAAGCCGGAGTACCCGGAGAGAACCCACGCAAGCACGGGGAGAACATGTAAACTCCACACAGAAAGGTCCCAGGTGGGGCCCGAACCCAGAACCGTCTCGCTGTGAGGCAACGCTAACCACTGTGCCACCGTGCTGCCAGGTCTGGTGTTGTTACCCTGTAAATGCCACAGGCTCTTGGTGGCATCAAAACAACCTTGAACCAATGTTTGCTATATGTTGGGGGTTGCCAGAGCCTCCCCAGGTAACACAAACACATCTACCACCCCTCCATTCCCCCCCAAAAAAGACACACACACCTTCAAACACACACAAGACTGACTGGCTCTTTCTATCTCTCTCAAACTCTGGACATGTCTGAATGTCTGACAGACCTGCAGTATCCGTCTAAAGCATGTTTGCATTGTGTATTTTTGTCAGCTGTTTCAGCTTCACTCCCTTGTTAGAATAATTTGAAGAAAATACACTCCCAGGATTTGCTTCCTTGCTGAGAGTTAAAGGAGAAGATCAATACCACTTTCACACAGCCAGCAGCCAGTCTGAAAAACAAGGTAACAGCTGGCCTGGCTTTGTCCAAAAACACCCAGATCCCATTTTGTTCTCTTGGTCTACACAAAACCAAAGTGTAAAACAAAAAGTTGAATTTTCTTATTGTGGGATTATTTCTTAGTGGAGTGTGGGTGAACATTAAAATTCATTATATTAGAGATAGGTTATATGATTTTATGAATCTTCATAAAAGTTAAAGGAGTGTTTAATCTTTGTCACAGCTCTTAAAGGAAAAGAACCTTTCTCTGAAAGAAAAAGGCCGGATTGACGCATTTTATATATACAAGTGTGGGGAAACCAGCTCAATGCAGCAGATAATAGAAGTAGAACAAGAACATCGTGTCCTGTCTGAGCCAATCATTTTGAGTGTATAATGTTGTTAGTCTGTGGCGTGACTTCAGGCTTCTCTGAACATTTACTTATCTGTCCCATAGTCACTCTTGTGACTGGAGATTTATCCTTTCTGGGTGTTTTCATTCATTCCTTTCTTTGATTTTTGCACAGGTTAAAATACTGACAGGTGTTTTGATTCCGTTGTCCATCTGGTTTATGTGAGTGAGGCTAGGCTAAATATCAGATACAGTGCAGTACAGTTCAACAGTCGTGCAAACTACATCTTCCAAAATGAGCATATTTGAATAAACACCTCTTTGCTGTTAAACAGTTAGAACAAAAACTGATCAGCTCCATGAAGCTTGGTCATGGCAGTAAATATACAAGTTATTCAGACGTATATAACTAAAAATATGAACCTTTCTTTATCACCATTACTGAACTGAATTAAAATTTAAATGGAACTACAAGTATCTAATATTACTAAAGCTAAAGAGTAACATTTTAAAAACGCACCGGTGAACATCAGACATGGCCATATTTGAAGAGTAAATGTACATTCATTTGGTGTTATTACCTTAAAAAAAGGTGAGAGCAGTAGGTTGTTGAGCAAGGTTTCATTTCAGGACATCAACCTTGCAATGTCCCAGTCTGTACTGGCAGTGTCGCCGAGAGCTGGCACTGGTGCAAGTCATAGAGAAAACATGTTTTCATGTGATGTTCTCTGTAGGCAAATAGTACTACGCAATACTCTCCTCTATGACCTTGTATAGAGTACGTTACTTAAGGTTTGATTGCAATAAATATATTTTTACAGTTACTTCATCAATGTCCTCAGTCACTTTTGATAATTTCATATTGTAAAAAAAAATCTGAAATACAAGAAACACTGTTGGTTTTAGTTTGTATGACCAATTATTTGCTAATCACTTTTATAGAAACTGCAATTTAGAATGAAAAAAAAATCACAATTGCATTTTACTGGTGAATGTGGGAAATGATTTTCTTTTTTGGAACCTTTTGTCTTTCATTTCATTTTTCTGTCTAGTTTGGTGAAGGTACAGTAAAGGCACAAAATACTTAAAAAAGACAGAACTCATGCAACTTCCAAATTAAATATCTGCATCCAGTGTCATCAGAAATCAAGCAGAATCTCTGTTGCCTTTGGTGCGTATGAACAAATAAGATTTTTAAGACAGTTTATGGAGACATTATTCATTTTACAAGAAATTGCAGTTGTGGAATTTATTAAAATAAAAATCCTAACTCTATTACACAGGTAAACACAACTAATTTAATTGACTTTTTCCTTTTTTGTAACTACGTTTTACTTCATTTTCCAAATTAGTTTGGTCATGGTGCAGAAACAAAACACAAAGGGGAGTGATTGTACCCATACAGGGAACATATAGTGGACTACATAATTAAATACTTGCATAGAGTCTAATCCAAAAAGGAAGGCAAACAATATGGTATGGATCAACATCTGTACAATAGTGAAACAATAAAAATCCTTTTAATCAGTTCTGTTCAGATCAACAAGTCTGGCATTAGAGATATTAATTTAAAAAAGCAAGATTTGATGAGAAAAAAGTGTTTCACAGTTCAAACACACAATAATAACTTGATAATGCTCTTTATTTGTTTAATTCTTCCTTGCTGCATCTAAATGGTAATGGTAGATTCTTAACCCACTAACACTCAGCTTGTCTCATCTTCTGGAATCACTTTGATTACTATTTACACAGTTTTCTGTTACTAACACTCAAATCAGTGGGGACTTTGTAGAGAGAGATAAGTGATGAACCGAGAGAGGGGGCAGCTGACCTTCTCAGGCAGTGGTGGCGTCATCAGCACGCAGGACAAGCAAACCTTATGACTCAAACTCACTCGTGTCTAAGACGACTTACAGGTCAGTGAGTTTGTTGATAGGTTGGAGGCTACTCCCTTATACAGGGTTGCAGGCGCAGGCAGAGGGGATCCAGTCCGGCATGCACACAGAGATGCACATGCAAGCACAAACACATGTGAGAGACTGCCATGCTCCTAGAAGCCACAGACAAGGAGATTAGCTGGGAGCCATAGTAGAGATGGAAATGCTTCATTCAGTCACATCATCCCACTTTTGGACTTTAGATTATGAGGTGCCCCCTCCCCTAAAATCCAGCAATTACTCTAAAAATGGAAATATGTAAACAGTGAAGGAGTAATGGTAAAAGAGCACCCCGATATGGCAGAGACTCTTGCATATTTGATAGAGATGTTCCTAAATAGTGTCAACAGTGTAGGTGTTACGGGTACCGGGACCACATAGGCAAAAGATTTCTCCTCACTGTTAAACGATGTTTTCTGTCATTCAGCCTTTCACCCCTGAGTTTTTCAGCGCATCCTGATTTGTTATATATTCTGTGTGGCCTTCATTGCACATTACATACTGTAACTTGACATCAAACCAATGTTAACGTCATGAAACATAAAGATTTGTAGCACTAACAGACAAGGTTTTGTTTATTTGATGAGTCTCACAACAGCCTATAGATTATTGACTCTGGCCTGAAAGTAGGTCATTCCTATTGATAAAGATGACTGAGAAGGGCTGTAGCTGCAGCTCGTAAGGAAGAAGATCTGCATGAACCCTCTGACCTCCTCCCATAAACCGAGACTCCTCCTGGCTGCATTCAGCACCGTGGAGGGGAAAGGCTGTTTTTATTGTCTGGTTCAGGATTCCCTGGATGGTGGAGGACTCACCCCCCTCCTCACAGACAGCAACAAGCTGAAGGAATGGTGAGCGCTGGGGCAGAAGTGAGGCCAGAGGCTTCAGAATCAGCTTTAGTGGCCAATAAATTTGACTTCGGTACAGTGGCTTTCAATGTGCTTCCATAAGACAACAAGGAAAAATAGTGCATTTACGGTAAATAGGAAACAAAGGAAACAAAGGCAGCACTAAGCACCAGCAAAGTTGCATATGAGGTCAGAAATTTCATTCCTATTAAAAAGAAACTGAGAAGAGCTCATTGAAAATTCAGTATCTGTGTGATTTTAGTATCATGTCATAAATTTTGATGAGATTAGATTAGTTAGGTGAGTATAACTGAAGAGAACTAGAGAGAGTACAGTTAACAAAGGTCAGTGAACTCAATGAACTAGTGGGAAAATTCGACTTGACAGTTTCCATGAAATGATTATTTGTTAAACATACATTAAAACGTCCCAGAGGC